CTTCTTTTGTGTTGTCTTTTCCAATGAATATTGTCCTCTCCTGATATGCCTGACATATAACCACAGTTTAGTCATTTTAGCTTTTATATTTCTTCTGGAATCAATTTCTCCATCTTTCTGGCAGGCCATAAAGCAGTCCTCTTACACTAATTGACTTTCAGTGTGTTTGTTGATATTGGGGATTCTTCCTCCCTAAAGTGTTTAACTGAATAGGATGAAATCCTCCTCTCGGAGAAGAGGAAGAAAGATTGTTTGAGAGACTTGGGAGAAAGGATGAGCTAAAATCAAGTAAAGAAAATAATGAATTGAATTGACAAGTTGACAGGAGGGAAGAAGATAAAGCTGCCTAGTTACATCATTTGGGAAGCTCCCAGGCTGTTAATTTTAAAAGAAATTTCCTGTTTTTATTGGAAAATTGTCAAATATGGCTTGCATCATGTTCAGTTTGCTCCCCTTCTGTCTGTCTTGCTCTCTTAATGCATGCATGTAGCAAAGGATCTGATTATAGTCCCATTCTCAGTAACTTTGTTTCCAGCATTCAAGTATTGGCATCTGTCCTGGATGATGAAATCTTTGGCAGCCTGGTAGTTTTCCAGTGAGGTTGCAGCTTGATCTGAAACACCTGGATCCTGGCTTGGCAAAAACCTAGCAGTTAACTGCTTATCCGTTTCTTCTGCTTGGAATAACTGCATAATAAATTCTAAGCCTGAATCTACTTGCAAGATCTGACTCTTCTGTAATCTGTTCTCTTTAACTGGGGCTACTTATGTGAGAGTGGGAATGTATTGCAAAATTCTGCATGCTGGATTCTTAATTTATTGTATTGTTCTTCTTATGGGAAACACTGTGGGTACTCTTGATAAAGATCTAGGAATCCATTTAACAGGCACCCACACAAGCTGTGTGTAACTCTTTCTAGTTACTCAGCTTGCTTCAGAGAACCTCCATGTTTAACAATTTAAAATTTTGTTCCCATTAGCAAGTTTGTAAAACATACATTGTAAGTTATATAAAATGTATATTTTAATTATATAAATTTACATAAAATGTGTATAAACTATTAATTATTGAATAATAGTAAAGGTTAACAGGGAGGTTAGTTGGGAACACCACTGTAGATGCCATGCCGATTGAAAAGCTGAACTTCTGATTTAGTCATTTTGGAACCTTTCTTTTTCCTATTGGACAATGAACTGAGCTGGAGGAAGGCCTTTTATTTGATGTTAATAAGGTCTTAAAACTGGAGCATCCAGTGGAGCATTCAGATGTGTGATAACAATAGCAGAAGCCTACAGTCACTGGCTGACCTTGCTGATCCAGAGTTTCAGTTATCACGTTCCTCCCTCCCCTTGCAAATGGCCCTGCCTGTCAGCCTTTCTTGTGGGAAAGGCAAACGAAAAGCATATTGAGTTGGCTGTTACAGCAAATACTGCCCCTAAAGGCAAACGAAAAGCATATTGAGTTGGCCGTTACAGCAAATACTGTCCCTTTGCAAGGAGTATATGCTGCTGGCGCCTTGTGCTTGAGTGGGCAAGGGCACTCCTTGCAGGGGAAACTGGCTGGGATATTGACAGTCTGCTCAACTGCTGGGCATCCAAACAACCTCTAACCTTCTTGCCATCATCCTATTCTGAAAATACCCAGTCTTGTCAGTTTTGGAAGACAGCTGGATTGGATTTGTCTAGGTCTTGGCTGGGAAGCAATCAGGGAATATGAGGATCATCATGTAGGGCTAGAAGAGAATCTTGAAACCCTGGAAAGCTGCTGCCAGTCAAAGCTGATAGCACTGGGTTTTACAGTAAAATGGTCTGACTTCAGTGTAAGAAGCTGTACTGTATTGTTCCAATGCTTGTCCCAACATTGGAGCTGTAGACGGAACAGGGATTGTTATACAGCTGTTGGCATCAACCACTCTTCCTCCTTCAACTTCAAAGGTGGAAGGAAGCAAAGCCATTCACTGTGCTTGCCAGAAGGCACTGGCAGTCACAATGGCAGCAACCATTGTCTTCATTTAGTTGCTTTTGCGTTATTACAGCGTAGCTGCCCTGGTGAGATATAATGATTCGACTTTGGCCTGAAATGACAAACATTTGCTGCTGAATAAAATATGACTGCTGTTTAAGATGCCAAGTTCCACTTGATCTTCTGCCCTTCATTTTCATTGATGGCCCCCTAGTAAGCTTGAAGGCTTTTGCCAATTTCTAACAATAGAGCTGATTAACTGAAATTGATAGAGCCAAGTTTCCTTACTGGGCTGATAGGCTGAGTCCAGAATGTCAGAATAAAGAGGTAGTTCTTTGCCATTCTGTAATGAAATCTGCTTATATTGGAATTGTACCAAAATATGTAGCAAAATGCACTGAGGAATTTTGAGTAGAGGAACAGAAGGAGGTAGAAGTAGTCATTTCCCTGGCCATTTTCCTATGACACAGTGACATCTAGGGTCGATCCAGCTCACCAAGTTGAGACGGTGAGGTAATAAGGGGATTCTTTTTCCTGTGGTGACTGTTGGCATGCTGTGTTACATCACAGAATTATTCCAGGAAGTAGTGAATTGTCTATGGCATATGGTCATTTCTTCAAAGGAACCCCCCTCCAATTTATGAATGTGGGATATTTTCTTTCTGTATCCACAATTCAAAACACCAGGAAATGGCCCGATACTGGCACACAATACCATGCCTGCCTTGCCAGCAGGAAAAAGGATGCCAAGCCTTATGTGGCAAAGAGCAGTTTAACTGTTGACACCACCGATACTGAATGGTCTGCAGCAGGGGTCCCCAACTCCTGGTCCGTGGCCTTGGCTCGACAGGGCCACGGAGACAGATTTTCTGCCCCCCACACCACCCAAATGCCCACCTGCACAGTCCCATCACACATGCGTGTGAGTGTGGGGGGGTGCCCTGCCCCCTGCACACAGAGCCTGTCCCCCCAGCTGGTCCACAGTGTCAAAAAAGTTGGGGGCCACTGGTCTACAGTATACCTGCTTGTGCTCACTATCATTCATAAAATGATACCTAGCAAGGGAAAATCCCAGAAGCTGGCTCCTTTTTTTAAAAAATCAGTTAACAACTTCTCACCCAAACACAAAGCAATTGTCATGGCTGTTTTTTGACAAGTGTGAATGTTAGTTTTGATTCATGGATACAAAAGCAAAACATCCCACATTCAGAACTGAAGGGGTTTTTAAAAATGAAGTTTTAGCTTTTTTAAGCAGAAGTTTAATAATGCAGATTCCAGGAGCAACTTCCTTCATGTAAAATTACCCAGTACTAGAGGTGCCCAGAAGATGAGTATATTATTGCTTGATGGCACGTAACATCTTTGGAGTTTTTTTCTTAATGACCAAACCATTGTATACTGACAAGATGTTCTGAATGGTTAAGACTGTGACACGATATAGGCAGCAAACTCTGTTAACATTGAGACACAAAACAGAAAATAGTCATTTTGCAGTGTAGACAAGTGAGTTTCTTAATATTTGTTCTCTGTTCTTTTAAAATATTTTTACAGCCAGACACAGAATCTCTTTGCAAGCACAAATCCCTCTTTGGCCAGGAAGGAGTTAAAAATCCAATTGGATCCTTATTGACAGCTTCAGAAGTTCACACTGTCCTAGACCTGAAGCTGATTTCTTCTTTGAAAACTTGTCTCAGGAGCCTGGTCTCCTGGGAGAATCCTCTTTGCTGAAAGCACTAAGGGCTGGGACAGACATAACTATTCTGTGTGCTGTAATACAGAAATACTCTGCTTATGCTTTATAGAATTGTATGCGAATTTCCTGAAGATATATGGCAAAATGGCTAGAGGACTGTCATTCCATTACTTTCTTTAAAGCAAACTCAGATGTATTACTCTTTTTATAAGAGCTGTAAAGTTTTGTCGACCTGTAGTTTTCCTACACCAATATGATACATTGTTTCATCTGCCTGGAAAGCCTGTACCACACATGCCCAGTTTATAGCTAGGTCACTGTTTTTCCTATTTGAAAAGCCTCTTTTAGGATCAATAATTCACTCCCTGCAGCTTGGGATATTTCCAAATAAAAAAGTGGGTGGGGCGAACCATTCACTTTCAGGATTATAGATTAGTTGCTTCAATTTATATGAGCTATTTTAAATCCTGGAATTTTAGGTTTACCTGTTTTTGAATAGGTTAAAACAGTTTTACATTTTTAAAAAACATAATTCTAAAACCTTTGGGCCATACTTCCCGAAATTTTGGAACAGAGCAAGAGCGGATTGTTTGCTATATGTGTGCCACAATTGGGGATGATCTGAAGTCCATTTTCAAAGTTATTATTTTTTTGTTTGGGATGCTTCCATTGTTACAGTTATCTTCTAGAACAGTGGTTCTTAACCTTTGTTACTCGGATGCTTTTGAACTGCAACTCCCAGAAACCCCAGCCAGCACAGTTGGTGGTGAAGGCTTCTGGGAGTTGCAGTCCAAAACTCCTGAGTAACCCAAGGTTAAGAACCAGTGTTCTAGAATGTTGATTTGTTGTGCTGCACAATAATATAGCTGCACTATTTTGCAGCTATTAATAACCGGGTGGAGAAAGAAAATTCCTTGTGACTTTTAAAGCTGCTCACTTGTATTCCTCCTCATTTGTGTCGGACATCCATAAAGATACGTGACTCCTGTGAATGGACTTGGTATGTGCTCTGTGATCAGTCCACACTTTAACCATTGAGTTTCCCCATGACTGCATATCTTCAGAACATAGAGTGCCTTTATACTGGAACAGCATGACAGAATAATAAATAACTGAACACAGGAGTAAGCTGAACCGACTAGTGCAACTTCTGATCTTCATATATACATTAAATGTCTCCTTTCCAGACTTTTGCAATCTGACAGCCAATCAGAGTTATTCTTTCCCAAAATTTCTGGAAGGCAAAGGCATTTTCCCACCTACTCCATGCTGGCTTGGCCTTGAGATGGCTCTTCTCACGAGACAAGATCCCAGTATGACAATGCAATATTATTTTTTCTTCTAGTATTCCAGAGGTACTGTGAAGGGCGTTTCTGGCTTTGATGCCAAAGCTGATGCTGAGGTCCTTCGGAAGGCAATGAAGGGCTTGGGTAAGCATTTCACGATGACTTATATAATAGATTTCTATTCAGAATGTCACTCACCATTAAAATTGTGAGAAAAGAGGTAGGATAAATCTGTTGGGCGCACATACTCCATATTCCTTGTCACTTGTCATTACTGTATAGTCTTCCACATTCTGGAGCAGTTACTTCTGTAGCTGAGAGTCTTCTGTACTTAGATAGGTTCTATGTGGCATTTATAATCTTGATTTGACTGGAAAAGTTACTTTTTAAAATAACAACTCCAGTGGGGAACCACCCCCCCCCGCCACCATGCTATTTGGATGGTTTTCTAGAAAAAACAGCCTTTGCAAGCTCCAGTTTTAAAACCACACAGTGAACATACGCAGACTTGGCTGTCCACTGTAAATATTCCTGTCAGACATGTGGAGAGCTGCAGAAACTGGCAGGGAGGTTGCAGTGGAGGAAGGGGGGGCAACAAATGCTTGAAAAATGGCCCTTGGTCAGTGGCACATACTGTCCATGCAGAAGGGCCTCGGTTTAGTCCTTGGCACCCCCAAGTAGGCCAGTCATGGTCAGTAGTGGGTTAGATAGATGACTGGTCTGACTTTGTATCTTCTGTGTTCCCAATGATTTTAATTATGTGCCTCACCCTGGTGTGCAAGGGTAAGGTGTTTGAAGCACAAGCCAACTGGAGGTTAGGATTCAGGAATGTTCTCAGTAGAACAAGGATGTTTGGGACTAAAATCTGATTGCAGCATGCCACCTTGGTTTAGTGTCTGCTAAGTAATATTTACATAAGCAGAAGTTAAGATAACATATCAGATCCAACAATTATTAACATTTTATGGCTTCTCGTAAATGGATGAGTATTGATTAATGCTTTTAAATCAAGAATTCATGATATGTGAATGTCTTTCTCAGTATGTCATCTTAAGTTTTGCTTGTGCAAATATTGTTGAGGAGATGTTATGTTTAAGCAGGAATCAGGAACTAAAATTGGTCCCCAGAGATGCTGATGATGGTTTCTCTCTCTCAAAAGTTGGAATGAAGACTGGAAGGAAGGGGCATGTTTGATGGAAGTCTTTGTCCCTGAGAAGTGACTTTCCCATTATTCTAAAAATCAAGCTAAAGTGTTTGCCTGTTCAAAATGCTGATGTGACATTGCTCCCACTCTAACTTGGCTTCACAATGATATCACATAACCAATATGGCTGTATAGCATCATGGGAAGCCTGTCCAGAATAAGGGCAATATAGCTCTAATCCTCCTCATCCTCATTTTAGAACTGCAAAGCTGGAAGGGAACCTATGGATTATTGAGTTCAGCCCCTGTCAAGCAGGATCAGTGGCGAATCGAACTCCCAACCCCAGGCTCTCCAGCCAGATACCTAAACTACTGAGCTATCCAGCAGTTCTGAGTTTGATCTGGTGTTGTAATGTTATGCTGTGACCAAGTGTGATTGGTTACATGACTGTGTGACATTCAGTAAGATAACTTCAGTAAGAACCTTAGCCATTAAAAAAAATATACTGAAGCAGCAGGTTGTAAAATGAGAAGCCATAAATAGTCAGTGGCAACTCTTGAAAAAAATGAGGAGAAATTCTTGCCCTACTTCTGACATCATATTCTTTGCATGAACATTTTAATGGCATTGGGGGAGATGCAGCCTTACCATAAATATACATTGCAGTAACTTTGGATTGCTGATTGTAGATTGTCAAGAAACAGATTGCATGCAAATGTAAAGAGACATTTATAGATTGTTGTCCAAGTAATGCAGGATTGCTAGAAAGTGAATGTTCATGTGCAATTTAGCCCACTTTCAGTGTTTAATGACTCATTTATCTACAAAATATTGATATTCATCTTTTGGCTACAAATCATCCTGTTTTTCATTTGCATAATTTAAGGCACTGATGAAGAGTCAATCCTGAAAATCCTAACAAGCAGAAGCAATGCTCAACGTCAGGAAATTGCTCTTGCTTTTAAAACCTTATTTGGAAGGGTAAGCATCGTCTGCTTTGGGTCAAGTTTTGGTCTCTGTGTGGATGTGTCTGTGCTTATGTTAAATCCACACAAGGTGGACTTTGTGATGGGCAATTTTTAGGTCTGCTGGTTACATATCTTGTAGCACTCTGTACTCTCCTCCACGCATTGAATATATATCACTCTTCTTGTTTTTTTCTTCATTAATTCCAATAATATGTAAGTTTATGTGACTGGTGCATTAGTTTTGAATTCTGCTAATTAACTTATTAATTAAGCATTATTTGTCCTGTCAATTAGGATTTAGTTGCTGACTTAAAATCAGAACTTACTGGCAAATTTGAAAACTTGATGGTTCAACTGATGAGACCCAGCCGACTTTATGATGCTCACGCGCTGAAGCATGCCGTTAAGGTAATATGAGTGGCACAAAATAAAATATTGATGAAATGTTTGTTTCTGTGTCACAACGCTATGCTTTCCTTCATTTACCCATTTCCAGTTATGGTGGCTGATCTGCTTGACTATTTAGGACTATTGATTTCATTTTAAAAGCTTCATTTATTTTCTTATATGCATGAGTAATTCTGAAGAGAGCAGGTTTTGGATGGTCTTTTGTCTTTTGCAAGAGGGGCATCTGGTCAATGGATTGTGTGCAATTAAGCAGTTCATTCCACCAGCAGAATGTCATGATTACACTAGCCAGAATCCTGTTACTTAGCATAGTAAGTCATACTGGAGTAGGCCTGTTGAATCAGTAGGGATTTAGTGACCCAACTTCTCAGTGAGTTTCATTCATATGGACCTACTCCAACTTTGCCTTACTATACTAAAGTCACAGAGCAATTCCATTTGAATCGCTGTAATTTATGAAGGAGTTGATTCATGAACCCCCCTGTTTAATTCAGTGGACCTACTCTGTTATGGTTTACTATGCTAAGCAACAGGATTTTGCCCAGTGTCTTTCACTTTGTATGGTGCTTTTATGTTAAACGTATGCTTGTCTGCTTTCAGTATGCAAATACGTATATTTTTAATGATGGCTAACTGCTCTGCCTTGTGATTAAATGCAATTCTCTACAAGGCTGCTGAGAAAGAGTGAGATCAGAACTCTGCTGGATCATACTATAGGTTCATCTGTTGGTTCATACATGGCCAACCTGTTCCCTTTTAGAAGCCCACAGGCAGACCATGAATAGCTTCTCCCATTCCTGCTCCTCAGCAGTACCTACTGAGAGGCAAATTAGCTCTGAACCTAAATTTTTTATATAAGTGTCACATTTATTTCAGTGATGATTTCATATCCTCAGATGCTTTCCACTTGCATTGCAAAAATGGTACTGCTCACATACAAGAGAGAGATCTTAGCAGGACTGGGAGCATTCTGAGCTTTGCAGATGCTTTCTTCTTTGAAATACTACAAAACAAACAAAAGAAAACCCTAATGAATGGTTTCCCCTCCCCTCAAATGAGAAGAGGCACCCAGATAGAGTATGTTGAAGACTGGGAATGAAATCATATACTGGAAGATGAGACTGGAGGAAAAGACGTATGGATATAAAAAGAGCCAAGAGATTCATCTAATTGTTTCAATAGGCCATTGTCTGCTTCATACTGAGAAGTCTTTTCTTCATATGCCCATGGTGCACATTGGATGTATAGAAATCAGTGGAGAAATATGAAACTGAAAGTGATTGGGGTTGATGTTCATTGTGTTCAATCCACATCCTTAAAACAAAACAAAACAAACACAAAAACAAAATGGAGAAACAGCCCAATGAGACTTGACAAAGAACATGGTCTCCCTGTTGTAGGGGAGCGGGAATCAGATAGAGTGTATGAAGCAGAAGCATTTCATCCTGCAGTTTGATACAGTGGCCCCATTTTTCAGTGGCTGATTATAATCTTCCATAGATTTCCCTAATCCTTCCTGTAAACCTAGAGGTCATATTTTATAGTAGCAAATTCTTATAGTAGCACATTAATTTACAGATTCTTCACTAGGTAACTGAATTTGCCATGGGGTCTTGCAATTAGACAAGAAAATTAGGAACTTGTCAATTTTATTCTCAGTTGTCATAGACAAGCCCACTCAAAATATATTTTATCTACTACTACAGTTACTGTTTAGCTATGTAAACATCTGTCATTCCGATAGGCTAACCACATTAAGTAAAGTATTAGTTAAATACTGACTTTTTTGTTTCACGTTGAAGTTCAGAAGAGTAGAGGGCTGGTGTCAGCTTGGCAAGGTAACTGAGAAAACAAAACTCCTGTGATTTCCTGTTGATTTAAGTTAAGTCACAGTTGGCTAACTGGCAGAAAAAGAAAAGAATGTGATGGGTCATTCTGGTGGCGTGTTTCTGCCCCCTTCCCCTTATTTTCCTAGAGAAGAGAATTGGTAATTTTAAAAGGAACTTTATGCCATCAGTTAATGATTATGTCGCCCATGTTATTGATTAAGAGAGACGGTTAATTCCAGACAAATTGGTTGTATTATGCAAGTGAGTAGATGCGTATGCAGTCTGAAGGCCTGTGAAAGCAGTCATTGATTTTTGTCATTCTCTAGCCTCAGAGGTTGAAGCTACTGTTTGCCGTTTAGCCCCATTGTGAGTCCACATCTTTGCCAGTCACCATAAATGTTGGTAAACATATTTTTGGAAAGTTGGCTAGAAAAAAAACCCAACAGCTAACATAGATATCCGAAGGCCATCTGTTCTTCCACAAATGCTTCTACTGATACGATAAACAGGAGAGGCCTTGTTGCTCAACTTTACATGAAATGTGGCTGCAGGAATATATGGTCAGACAAGCTGTTCTTACTTATGGCCCCAATAGCTCTCTGTTAGCCATTTCACTGTGTGTGTTGAAGTTGTGCTATGTAGGGCTTGGCTTTGGTTTTTTAAGGCAGGCCAAGGGTTTAGGATAGACTTCGGTTTCGTGGTTTGCATGTCTAATGTAATGTTTTTGTATCACTTTGACCTTTTGATGATCTTATTATTTTGAGCACAAGTGAAGCTATGCAAGCACTTTTTAAAAAACTCATATAATTAAAATACTGGAGACAAAGTTTTAGAAGATCTTGATTTTGGTATTTTGGAGTTTTAAATATGAGGCTGCAGGAAACAAGCACCATCTCTCTCTAACACTTGGAGTTACATTAACTGTGTGAATTGAACAAAAAATAACTTCACAAATAAATTTCATTGGTTACAGGGGGCAGGAACAGATGAAAAAGTCCTGAATGAAATTCTTGCATCAAGAACAACATCTGAAGTTCGGAAAATAAAGGAAGTTTATCAGGAAGGTAAAATGTAACAATCTGTGCTCTGAAAGATAGCAATATTTGTGGGATCTTAGAAATATGTGAAACACTGAAATATTAGAACAAGGAAGTGGAAAAATAGGGGGAAATATAGTTTCAAAGTTTTTTGAAATGAAGATTAAGGAAGCTTTTCTTTCATATGTCTTCTTTTGGAAACACGTCTTGGGTTTTACGCTGTGTAATTGAATCCAGTTCTTCTAATATTTTCCTTGGAATTTAATCTACCTGAAAAGAAGAATTTTCTAGCTCTAATAATCTGTGAAGGCTTAGTTTTAACAATTATTTGAAATTCACTACAGGCAGTCGTAGTGGTTACCACTGACACATTCACCAGAAAGATGAAACAGGTCACTGAATTGCAGTAAGTCACCTAGGCTAATCTAAGTGGGCAGATACAAAAGTGGGAATTAGTTTTATAAGTTAAGACAGGTTATAGTACATTTCAGTCAAATGGCCAAGAAGAGGAATCTGGTCGTTTTTGTGCCTGTTGAATCTGCTGTCCCAGGTGGACGAACAACTTCAAGGTCCCCGATCTCCCCTGTTATGAGTCTTTATCTTTAAATGAGATACGGGCTTGACAGCCTTTCTAACGGATGATAGAAGGGAGGATTATTTTCTGGCAGCCATTGAAATAAGGAACTGTCTTCCCTAAAAGAGAATATATGGCCACCCTAGTTGTATGTGATGATTTTCATTAACAAAGTAGGTCATCTGCTAAAACTGAATTCGAATTGAATGAGAGGACCATTTATGTTTATAAAAGTTTGTGATAAAGTTACTCTTCTTGACTTCCATTTATGGGATCCCTGGAACTGCTACCAGGAAGACTTTGCAGAAGGACTGTTAGTAGTGCTGTGTAGATAGGAAATATTTTTACTGTGTGCCTCATTCCAGGAGAAAAAAATTCATAAAACACCCTGAAACTTTTTTTAACCATTTCTGCCTGTTCAGTGCAGATATCTATAGGTCAAGTGTGGCAAATAGCTAAATGCACATGCTTGATCTTCATCATTTGGTTTCTGATCACATGGCATAAATACACACCTTTAGCTGCTCTCATGCAGTTGTCTCTTTGTAAGCACCTCTATTGAGTTTCATGGTCAGAAGCCAGCAAGGACTCTGTTGATGTTGCCATAGCTAGTGGTAGGATTCTGTGTTTTGAACCCTAGCCTGGCGACCTCCAGGTACGTTGGGCTACAGCTTCTACAATTTGGGAGAGCACCAGGATGGTAAAGACTACCCTACAAAAAGATAATGAGTGCAATAGTTTTTAGATCAGGTGTGGGCAACCATAACCTCCATGTTTTTGGCCATAATGCCCATCACATTTTTTTGTTCTCTAAATCTGGGTTTGGCTGCTTTCTTTCTTCACACTGCAGCTTTTTTTCATTGCTTTGTCTGCGCCCTTGAGATCCAATTTTAGCATCGAGCACATATTTTTAGAGAATAGTGGCATCAGTCACATTAACACTTCCATTGTCAGCTCTTCTTCATGGCATCATTTCTCTTTGTGCTGAACATTCATTCACAAAGCCAACACAATTACATATAATCTCTCCTGAATATATATTTTCTTTAGTCTAGTTGTTCAGATTTTCTTTGGTGACTAATGCATATTTTCTTGTTCCAGAATATGAAGCTGACTTAGAAGCTCATATAAAATCAGACACCTCTGGTTACTATCAGAGGATGTTGGTAGTTCTTCTTCAGGTAAGTTTTGATAGAGAGACTTAGATATAACATTCAAAGCAAAGACTATTTTGTTCAGACTGAAGTTTCTATAATATTTGGATTCTACTTTATCTTCTTTCCTCCTCACATGCTGTGCCTGAGATTTCCTTGTATGTTCTGTATCATGTGGATAGATCTTAGAATAATGTAGGAGTGTAAATCCTCTTTTGCCCTCACACATGAGGACATGGCTCTGTTATGTTCTCTTTATCAAAAAGAAGAGTGAAAAATTTGCAGGTGCTCTTTATTCTGCTGTTGTAGTGACTGGAACAATATTTTGTGCAAATTGTTACAGGTTTATTTCTGAGTACATTGTGCAGTTTATGCAAATAGAAGAATTTGCATAAAATGTGAGATGGCTGTTGGTTTGTGTCATGGGGTGTTTAAGGATGCAAAATGTTGAGTTTATAGTTAGCTACTTTCTTTGCCAGACCATCAGGCTTTCCTTGTCTGCTGTGTGTGTAAGTGCGATCTGCTTCTCAAAAGGAAAGAATACTAATTTTTGCAGGTATATTTTATGCACGTTTTGGTCACCTTATGAGAGGAAAGCTCCTTGTGTCACTCTTGGTGGAAGGTGAAGACTCTTTCTGAGACTTTCAGATTCATTGATGAGGTGCTTGCAGAGCTGGCACAGCCTAAACTGACAAGAATGAAGAAATTAGAGAGAATTCTTCACATACCTAGAATCAGGCATGCTTGATAGCATGTGTGGGAAGTCATGACCAAGGGTGTCATTGGCTCAGGTTACCAGTCCAAAATGGAAGGAAGGATGAACCAAAAGGCATAAATTTGTCCTTCTCTCCCAGATTGCTTTTGCTATTGAGTGCCATTGAGCCTTTCTTTCCTTGTTGCTATTGGTTTCCTCAAGATGCTGCTGGGTGTTTCCTATTACTTAGGAATGGACAGGCCTATTGGTTTTTCTCTCTTAGACTTCCAGATTTTGCAAATTTAGTGAATCCTAATTGACAACAAACTGACACAAAATTCTTATTCATCCCTAACTTTGCTGTAGGCTGATTATTACAACAGAGTATCACATGATCAATACACTCTCCTTTCTGTAATACTGACATTGACCATAGAGGTTTGTTCAGGTCTTAGGTCTATTTAAAGTTCAAAGGCCACCTGGTACCCATGCATAGCAGAGTCCAGTTTCTTGAACACTAATATATGGGAGGCAATGACTGGCAGTACACATGGAAAAAGGAGAATATACATATAGAAGAAATTGCGTGCTACACCCTAGTCCTGTTTGATAGTGCTGATTTTATATGAAGTGTAGTCATCACTTTGTTCATTCATTAATCTGTCCTTACCTTTGTTTTGTTTTGTCTTGTTTGTTTTACCATTTAGGCTAACAGAGATCCTGATGGCCATATTAATGAGAAGCTGGTGGAGCAAGATGCTCAGGTAGGTGGAGGATCTCTCTGCCCATCTTTTTCAAATAGGTTTGCAATAACATATTAAAGGTACATGAAATTCTGGAAGTTATACTCCCACACATATGGAAGGGAGCAAATTGGGGGACGCAGTTTGACTCCATGGGATAGGTTGTACCCCAAGACAATGTGTGAATCACAGTAACAACTTATTGTGGGTTTACCACAGGGGCGGGATTATGAAAGTTGTCCAATATATGGGTAGGGCCACAGTTCTCTACCCTGGTTTTAAATCTGTGGGTCATCCTCTTCCTTTCAGTCTGTATTGCAACTTTCGTGATGTATGCCTACTGCTTTCTTCCATTCCTCTTTCTGATTCTCTATGCTCGTGTAGCTCGTGTGTCTCTATGCTTGTAGCTCGTGTGTCTTCCACTCTCTTCATTGGAATAATCTCTTTCCTCATGTTTCAGAGAGCCTGTACCTTACCAGCATGGAAATTATATTAGCAACTCATGCCATTATTATTATGTGTTGTGATGAATCTGTAAGTTAACTGAGAGCAGGAGTAACATTCTGAGTTCTTAGGTGGGTGGTTGTGAATTCCAGATGCGTGCAAGGTAGCACACATGAGTAAACCTTAATGAAGCTCTGCTGGAATTCTAACCACCGTATAGTTTTTCCCAGAGTTGATTATTCTGAGGTGCATTTGAGCAAAGAAATGTCTGCCCCCCTTCTCCCTGGGTAGTAGTCATCATTTTTTTGTGATAGCTACCATGTTATCTCCAAGATAGTCCCTGTTAAATAGCATTGTGGGAAAACTAAACTTTGGCCACTAGCCTGATCTGAAAGTGCGTTACAGTGGGGTCTCTACTTAAGAACGTCCCTACTTAAGAACAATCCAACTTAAGAACAGCTCCATTTGCTAAATTTTGCTTCTACTTGAGAACAGAAATCCAAGATAAGAACAGGAAAAAAAACCTTTCCTGCTCTTTTTTTAATCTTAGGTCATCTTAAGTTAAAAAAAATTCTTCCCCTAGTGGTAGAGTACGTATTAACCAGCTTTGCATTAGGTCCTATGGGAACTAATGCTTCAATGTACGAACGCACCTCTACATAACAAAAAAAAACAAAAAACAAAACAGCCAGAACGAATTAATTGGTTTTCAGTCCATTCCTATGGGAAATTTTGCTTCAATTTAAGAACGTTTCAACTTAAGAACACCATTCCAAAACGGATTAAGTTCTTCAGTAGAGGTTCCACTGTAGTTTCTATGGACGGAAAAGAGCAGATACAGATTAAATGGTTTTCAATGCATTCCTATGGGAAATGCAGATTCAACATAAGAACTTTTCAACTTGAGAACCACCTTCCAATACAGATTAAGTTCTTAAGTAGAGACCCCACTGTATTAAGTCTCTGCCCTCAAAGTACAGAAATAGACTTGTTTAGGGCTTTCAACTAAAGATGGGTACAAACCTCAATTTGTTGTTGCACTTGCACAGATGTTGTATGGGTACGGCACCCTCCCACTTCCCTGCACACATGCCAATTCCTTGAGTGATGTGCATTTCTCTCCTTTCCTGCCCAGCACAACTTCCCACTCACCTTTTGCAGCATGCTCTTCCCTCTTCTGCCTCCTCTGTGAGCCACCCACTCAGACGAGGAGGCAGGGCAGGGATTCCTGCAGTGTTGCCTTTGAGTGGGCAGCTGGTGGAAAAGGGAAGAGCATGCTGCAAAAGCTGAATGGACAGTCATGCTGGGGAGGTGGAGAGGGAAATGTGTGTACCCCAAGGAATTGGTGACTTTGCAGAGGAGGGGGGAAGGCACTGTGCCTGCACAGTACCTGTGCGAGTGTGGCGACAAATTGGGCCAGACCTCCGTACTGTGGTCTGTGCTCATCTCAACTTCCAACTCATCAAATTTAACAGAAGGTTCTTACGGCGCAGTGATTGCTGTGCTGCAACCCAAACTCTGCTCACAACCTGGGTTCAAACCCTAGTAGCTGCCTTGAGGTTCTGAGGGAAAAAGGAGATCTTGAAACTTAGTTGAAGACAGGTTGTGCCAAACACAAGGTTCTCAGACCTCCATGCTGGAAGATCTAGTATTGGATCTTCTTGTACATTTCATGTGTTGCTACATTTTATCCGAAGAAGCTCAGGGTTCTGTATAAAATTATTTTCAAATCACTCTGTGCGGTAGGTTAAGCCATGAAACGTTCCCTCCCATAGCCTAGTTTACCTCATTGAGTTTTATGGCTGAGCATGGATTTGAACCCCAGCCTCCTCCCTCCTACTTCAGTTCTAACTTTCACACTACATTGACCCAAGTCAGTATAAAACTGATGTTAAAGTGAGTTATAGGGACATCTGATAAGAAGGCTCGATGTTGAAACTGCTGATTTAATATTACTTTGAAGTACCATTATTGCACTGCTTGCCACCACATTCGTGGCTGTTTTGGGACTCTTCTACTCTAGGCACAGAGACGCTTCTGATGAATAACTGTTTCCATGGTTCTACTTTGTTTGCTCTAAGTTGGCTTACAAACAGGAAGCAGGAGTGGTAGCCTCAAGCAGTTGCTTATGTCACACTGTATTTTAGTTTAGGCTGCCTGACTGGTTAATTATAGTAATCCTAGCTGTTTCCTCACACAACGACTTCATCAAATGCTACATTTTTTCCAGTTTCAGATCATTTTTTCCCAGTATATGGGTAGCACCAAGATGTGTGAAAAGCCTTGGTTCTGCAAAAGGGAGGTGATAAATGGGAATATCAAATACAAGAGCAATATGAAAGGTGTTGAATTGGCCTTGTAGAAATAACAGCAAAATGCATGGAAGATACATTTGCCAACTTTTATGTTAGTTTCTGTTGGTCTAATGAAAATGTCCTGCTGTTAATCCAGAATTGGACTTTACAAAATAACAGTGCAGTCAAGACAGTGGTTTAAGCAAATTTCTCTCCCCTATCTACATGAAATAGCTTGTTGGAGTGTCAGTATTTATACAAGCAGGTTTCTACAGAAATGGGTTCCTAGATTAGTTCTGAAGAATTACTGTTACAGCCTCCTGGACTTGTGTGAAGTCATAGTGTTTCACAAGACAGTATGTTCCTCAGAAGGCCCATACCATTTAGTTTTGCTCCACAAGAGAGAGTTTTTACTGCAAAAATTGCTGCCTCTCGGAGAAGTGTAGCTCATAAAGCCATTCATCCATCCAACTTGCCACTCATGTGAAACAAATAATTTATCCTGAGTTAATATTTGAGTTCCAAACACTTATTCCCTGTGGTGTACGTGAGGAAAAAAATGGCTACAAGTACTGTTGACTTTGGCCTCATAGCTTCAGTCTTTTAACGAAGCCATGCCTCATAGACAGGTTTATAGAAAAGATCAGAAGTAACATTATATGATAAAGCAAGTGTCAACACATGCAGCCCTCAAGATCTCCCCCCCCCCTGCAGTTTGAATTAGATCTGCTGAGCACAGCCAGTGATCATGCATTATGGGATATGTAATAAAAAATCAGTAACACTGCATCATGTGCCTTCAGAACAGAGCCTGGGACCTTCAGGAAACATCGTGGAGCAAAGCACCCACCTGCCCTGTGAGGCGGGCCAGGTTCCAGTTCTCATTCATTCATGTAACCCTCTGTACGATGGGGGACTCACAGCTCACAAAACTAGTTAAACCAGTGAAAACAGAATTTATTTAAAATATTTTTATCCCACCTTAAAAAGAATCCAAGGCAACAGAACATACTATAATCTTTTTATTTTCTGCACAATGGAATGAAAAGCATAGTAGTGAGAAAAATTGATCATCCAGCAATTCAAAGCTGGCGGAAGCACTAGAAGGAAGAGGCCATGCCAGCTTCCCTGGGGGGAGGGGGGGTCCACAGGCTAAGAACAACCACTGGGAACAGTAATAGTATTGCCCCTCATCTCAGCCCAGTTATAGTACTTCAAACTCAGTTTAATGGCCATGGGCCTATCATGTGATCTGTTATGATATTTCTGTGATTTGTAACTTGGTGTGGTGCTTGGCACATTTTCTGCTAGAGAGTTCTAGTGCATTCACCCAAACTCGCAGGGAATTGTGAATACCTGACTAGACCACAGATTCGAGAGTTCTGTAAAATGGAGCCAAGGCCATTAAAAGGGAGTCAAGCTGTGTAGTATACTATAAGAGTTTGTGTGGTGTAGTGGCTTAGATCAGCAGTTCTTAACCTGTTCTTTACTACGGAGCCCCGTTAAATATCTTTTGTTGCCACAGTCCACCAAGACTTAACTCAAGATATAAAACCCTAAAGTGCATCAAATATTTATTTAAAGTTTCTCATGAAGGGTCTTGAGATTTGGAAAGAAGGGAGAAATAAATCAATCTGTTAATGCACACACTCCTATATTTTTATTGGGATGATGCAATAAAGATTTGAAATAATATTATCACACTGGCATAGACTGACTCTGACTCTCTTCCTGCAGTTTCTGACTGACTGCTCAGTAGCAAGAAATATTATGTGCTGCCTCAGTAGCAAGAAATATTGAATAACTATTTACTATCAAACAGTTATTTTCATAAGCAATTTTAACTTTTAATGCAGGTGGTAGGTTAGAAAAACCAAGTTTTACACAAACAAGCAAGGAAAATTAAGATTTCTTTCTTTCATAACATTTTTCCAAGCCTTCACGGACCACTCAAGATATAAAACCCTAAAGTGCATCAAATATTTATTTAAAGTTTCTCATGAAGGGTCTTGAGATTTGGAAAGAAGGGAGAAATAAATCAATCTGTTAATGCACACATTCCTATGCAGTCTTTTTATTGGGATGATTCAGTAAAGAGCCTCTTAATTCAAATGTAATAAATATTTAAGGGGGGTGAGCCCTTGCCTGATTTGGCAGTGCTTGTTGTGCTTCAGAAAGTGAACCTTGCCCCCTTTCACAGCCTTCACGGACCCCCTGTGAAGACATTGTGGCCCCTCCCGGAGCTATGGGGGCCATAGGTTAAGAACCTAGGAGTCATACTAGGGGAGACTCGGGATTGAAATCCTGGTTATACCTTATGCTTCAGTGTAACCCACTTCAGAGCACTGTTGTGTGGCTGCCTTCCTGAGCCTCTTAATTCAAATGTAATAAATACTTAAGGGGAGTGAGCCCTTGCCTGATTTGGCAGTGCTGGTGTGCTTCTGAAAGTGAACCTTGCCCCCTTTCATAGGACATTGCTGGGAGGTAAGACAGGAACTTTTCCTCTACATTTGCATTGGTTTTGGAAGCAATTTTGACTTGACATTCAACATCAAAACTGTTCTGAGAGGAGCTGAGTAGGTAGCAAGTAGATGCTTTGGGCCACTACCAAAGCAGACCAAAATAAATCGATCCGTGAATATAATTGGAGCTGGGAAATTACCTTCCTGAAGTGTGACATGCTGGCTTAGGATGTTCTAGGAGGAGGTGTGCAAAAAAGGTAACTGTTCTGCCTCTTTGTGCAGTTGCTCAGAGCTTTAATAACACTTTAACTTGCAAGATCAGACTAAGTCTCACCTTTGAAGTCTCACCAATGAAACACCTTGTCATTTGGATGGCCATATTTTATGTTTTAGATTTGAACAGACAGCTATGGAATTGATTTCTCTCTTCCTCTTTTTTCTGTTTTGTTTCAATTCTGTTTCTAAACAGGGTTATTTACAAAGTCATTAACCAATGTGGCCAGGAATGTTTTTAAATGATTTTAAAATTGCATCAGAAGCATTGGTGCAAAATCAGAATAAATTATGATAATATCTGTATAAGTGGCTTATGCTAGTGGCTGAAATCATGTTCAGGTTGATGTAAAGTTGTACAGTGGCTGAAATCATGTTCAGGTTGATGTAATGTAAAGTTGTACGTGGGGTAATGCGCTGGGCATTATGCCCAGGCAGCCAGTATTGCATAATTTGATTGTGCAGTTAATTGTGCAGTTCACATCATGACTGTTATGTGGCACACCTGTTGAAATGCTTTGTAGATATTACTTCCACACTGCTACAGTTTTTTTCCCTACCACTTCTGGAGTCTTTCATAATGGATTTCAGCTATTATGTTTAGCACAGATGCCTGTCATCTGGAATTAAGGGTTTTCTTTATGAACTACAGTAGGACCCCAGTGTCCGTGGGATCAGTATCCGCTGATTCACGTATCCACAATCTGAAAATACTAAGCATATTCAAAGGAAGAATCCTAGAAATAAATATTTCTAAAGATGGTTACCAGAACTAGCCACTAAAGAGAACTAGAGAACATGCTATGTATACTCCACATTTTTCAGCATCCAGGGCCAAGGCTTGGAACTAATCCTCGTATCCATGGGGGGTCCTACTGTATTTGAAATGTTGGTCATGGAGACCATCAAGAAATGCAGTGTCCAGAGGAAAACCTGTGTGTAATGGCTGGTTAATGGGAGAGTCAGGGAGACCCCAAAAGATCATGTTCTATTCTGTCCTATTCATAGTATTTATATACCATTTGGTAAGAGTAACATCTCTAAGCCACCCATATTAAAAAGATATACAGTACAATGCAGGAGACTGGGTTCTTTTCTGAGCAGAGTTGGACACAAAAACATGCACTGGAAAAAAAGTTGGTTGATGGAAAGTTGTGCAGTTGGAAAAATAGATACATGTTATGCATTGGAGAAAGGCATTGAATTAGAAATGTATAACAGTGTGAATATACTGTACAGATGCCTTTGCAGGAGCTTTAAAATCAAAGATTATTGTGATCCTGCTGGGGGTGACAAGGGGTGGATGAGTAGAGCAGTATTTCTGGCAAAAACACATTGGATGAAGCTGAAGGGATAGATAATGTCATTACTGACCCAAGGCAAATTCATAAATGAGTCATCTCTCAATAGTAGATAAAAATTATTGACTCCTGTGGAGAAACTGCTGGAGATGAAAGGTTTAATGGGAAGAGAGACACTTCTTGTGTTCATATTTTTCTTTTTCTTCTTTTTTCTTCTCTTTTGCTTTTTTTAGTGTAGGGTGTCTGGCAGGGCAGTTCTGCATATCGAAAAACCTGCTTTCAAAATCATTTGTTGAGAGAATACAAATCAATTTTGAAACTGTTTTAAATGCATACATTAATTAAAATATTTTTAAAAGTCTCATGGCTTACAGTCTAAGTGAAATCATCATTGTTGGCCAGGGAAGCCCTCCATAAATGATGCAGTTATGTGCTGCCAAGTCCCTTCAGACTTACGTTGACTGAATGAGTGGCTTCCAGAATGTCCTGTCATTCACTAAGGTCCCCCACTATGATCTTGCAAACTCAAGGCCATGACTACATTTATTTGATCTTTTCTTGCTGTCTTCACCTTTGTTCATAAACAAGTACAGTACCTGTTCAAACACTGCTTCTGCCTCTTAGAGATCCCCTATGTGTAACTAAATGTCACAATAGAGCGAGAGCCATAGAGAAGTGCCCAAAGGTGTGAACACATACTGGTTCTGCAAGGAACAGTTCAAAGTTCTACTTATGCATTAGTTGCATGTATATTGTCTCTTCCCTTTGTCTTCATAGTAGCCCTGTGAGGTGGGGTGGGCTGAGAGGCAATGACTAGACCAGAGTTAGTGAGCTTCATGACTAAGTGAAGATACGAACCTAGGTCTCCTGAGTCATAACTCTGTAGTGGAACCACTCTACCCCATTCCCTTTCCTCTGACAGAGAAGAGTTTGATTCTTGGAGCTGGTTCAAGTCACAACTTTAGGATGTATCTCATGCCAACCTTCCCTGAATGGACAGCCTCCCGATGTTTTAGACTATAACTCACATTATCATCAGCCAGTTTGGCAGTTGGATTTGCTACCTGGATCTGATGGGACTTGTAATCCAGGACATTAGGAAATTGCCAGGTTGATCAAACACTTCCTTACTGATTTAAATGCTTTGGGACAAAATGATATCACTTGCAGTGGCTTTTTTCCAAATATAGAAAAACAAACATGTCTGCCTTTGGGACCGAAATAATGGATTTTTCCCTCTCACTCCTTATCATAGGAACTGTTCAGAGCTGGTGAGCTAAAGTGGGGAACTGATGAAGAAAAGTTCATCACCATTCTGGGAACTCGAAGTGTATCTCACCTAAGGAAAGGTGAGTGAGATGGTCAAATGTTCTGACTGTTTTCTCTAAGGCTTATAATAATCAGTGTATTATGCGTTCAGTTGGAAGGGGCTGCCTGCCATTTCCCCAGTGCACCTGCTCATGCTGAAGGGTGGTATGAACAGCTTCCAGAAGGACTGCACAACAACTGAGTGGTGGCTCTTGTAGGACTACACCTGCACCATCTCAGTATTTTCATTCGTTTGTTCTGTCTGTCTTAATCGAAAAATCCCCCTTGTGTTCTCTAAGAGTACCTATAGGAAGCAATTCTGCTTTTGGGGGAGAGGGAACTGCTCCTGAGGTGTTCTGAATGACTTGCAGTTTTGAAAAAAGGATACACACTCAGCCAAAGATACCTCAGGGAGGGGAATATGGAAGAACTTCTATATGTTCCCCAAAATTTTGAGCAAATGTGTTTGAGGAAAAATTGCCTGGAGTCAACATTACTTTCTCTCTATTCCCAAGTGAAGACTTGCTTTTTAAAATTATTATTTTGGGTTTTTTTTTAGATTTTTAAAATATTTACTATTTCAATCACTCTGCTGTAGGTCTTTTTTCCCCTCTTGGCCAAGTTTATCTCCTATCCTCTCACCTCATACCGTGTTGGCTTTTGCACTGGTATTTTTTGTCATCAAGGCTTTGTATTGCTGAAGATTTCTACATATACTTTTTTGTCTTCCAGTCTTCGACAAATACATGACCATCTCTGGCTTTCAGATTGAAGAAACTATTGACCGTGAAACCTCTGGTGCACTCGAGAAGCTGCTTCTGGCAATTGGTAATAATCAGATCTCCTCTCAATACACAGTTTATAACAACAGCAATTGAGCTCTTGAGAGGAAGCCGTGTGATAACATTCATTCAAGTCTAAACCTTCTATTGGTTGTCCAGTTAAGTACCTCAGAGAAGGTGAAGTGGAGATGTGGTTGCTGTTAGTATTTTTTTTCAACGTAGTGATCTAAATTCTAGATTTTATTGCAATGTAGGAGGAATAGCAGTGCAATCCTGTGCATGTCTACATGGAAGTAATTGTCTCTTAAGCCAGAAATTTGTCTGGCTCCCTCGCTGGGTGTTTTTAGGAGCCAACTCAAGTTACCTGGCTCTTTAGGCAGGCCTTCTTTCCTGTCAATACCTAATTTATTTGCTATCTTCAGTTGTATTAATGTTGCTGTTTTATTTTATTCTTGAGTGTTGTTAGCCACCCAGAGTAGACTACAGTCTAGATGGGCGGGGTATTAAATAAATAAATAAATAAATTTTAAAAATTAAGTTTGCTGGACTTTACTATCAGTTTAGGAGTACACTGAATTGCAGCCAGGGTCACTGCTTGGGTATGTTTTATTTCAAGTCTAATTAGAGATACTTACAGTTAAATATAATGGCTCAATCTCCTATTTTTGGAAAATTCTAGGAACAGCTTTTGCTGTAGTGTGTGTTGAGGAGAGATAGGGATGCTGTCTCTCAGCACCTTGCTAAATGAAGTTGTTTTTCATCTGCAAAGGGATCAGTTTTCATACTATTCAGAAGGATTGTTGTTTTTTTTCCCAGTGAAGTGTGTCCGAAGTGTTCCTGCCTATTTTGCTGAATCGCTTTATTATGCGATGAAAGTGAGTGATTTATTTTACTGTCTTTACAAAAGAGAAACACACAGAGAAAGAGAGTATTCTTAAAAGTAAAATGTGGGCTAATTCAAACAGTTGCTATATATTCCATAGTGGGGTGACAGTGAATGTTATGTTTGTGTGTGTGAAGATATGCAGTATTATCTGATGGTCCGAATTCTAACTTTAATTTTAAAATGTAAGGCATTATAAAAAGTCAATGCTGCTGCAAAGCCTCTTGGCATCAGCACAATAAATAAATATGACATGCTAGCAAAATCAGAGTCTTAACTGCTGTATATTTGGGCAGTGGCATTCTTAAAAAGGAGGTTTTTTGAGTTCTGGGTGTGTTATGTCTTTAATAAGTTTCTTTTTAAAAGTGGATCCCTTCCCATTCTTACCAGGGAGCAGGAACTGATGATGAAACACTGATCAGAATCATTGTTTCAAGGAGTGAGATTGATCTGTTGGACATCAGGCAGGCATTCAGAAAGAATTTTGCAAAATCTTTGTACCATGCCATTCAGGTAGGTCTTACTTTATATGATAGGTTTACTTTGTTTTCTTTTTGCATCAGCAATAGAGCTGGTTTGTGTGGCCCCATAAAGAGAGACAAAATTGAAGAGGTTTGTTTTTGTTTTGCTACAAATTTGTTAAGATCAACAACAGTCTGCCATCAAGGGAAATGTATATTTCCTATCAATAGGGGTTCAGTTCTCAGGCACAGGGTTTATTGGCTGCCAAAGTAAATGAAACTAAATCGACTTGAATATATGCACTCTGGCTGAAAATGATTTGTAGATTGTTTAAGCATCTCCTCTTGCTAAAGGATATTAAAGTTGTTTAAATCGTACCCCAACACTTCAAGTTATATGACTTCAAGGATCTGCAAGTGGAAGATAAGTAGATGGCTCCTATTTTGCTTCTGCCAATTCTCCATATATAGTAGAAAATAAATCAGTTGCTGGATAACTTTCATGTGCTGTTCCTTTGAGTGAATAGTCAAATAAATAGAATCCCTGCAATGGGGGAAAAAGCATTTGCGAAATATATTTCTTGTAGTCATGACTGACTCATTCCCTGTGTTTTGATTTGTAGAAAGATACATCGGGTGACTACAGGAAAGGCCTCTTGATGCTCTGTGGTGGTGAAGATGACTAATGTCAACAGTGGCATGGAAGATGGAGTAGTCTTAACTCTTGCCTTGTGCCTCTCCCTCCTTTTGTATGCCTAACCTGTTTTATCAGCATGTAGAGCTGCATCATTACTCTCTAAAGCAACGTGCATTATCATTAGTACTGATAATAGTATAGAGCTTAGAAAAGTTACTTTAGCATTGCTCTTGTTTTGGTGCCAAGTTAAAACATAGCTTGTCCATCCATCCACTTTCAGGCTCCAAGGAAATAACGTCTTAGTTGGAATTCAACATTTCTCTGGTTTGGTTTTGCTCAGATTGCTAACTTTTGTAAAAGTCTGTGAAGTTATTTGAGTCGTTGTAGATTGTTTTAAGATGATTTTTGGACTGTTCCCTGCCATGAGATCTTTTGATATAAAACAGATTACAAATCAATCCCTCAATCGTTCAGTCAGTCAGCTAGACCATGGAGCTCTGTTCCAAAACAAAGTAATGTTTCTAGGCTTTAGTACATAACTTCTCCTAGTGAAATCAGTGTCGGACCCACTACATAGGATTACCACTCTTCACTGCAGTGTGCTTGATTCTTTTTTAAATTATTGGGGTTGTGTTTTGTGCAAACCCAGTTTTGCTGTAAATATATAAACTGGACTTAAAAATCAAGCCAAGTCATCTGAAAATTATCATTGGGTTGGATCCAGGTGCACATTAATTGCACTGAAATCCCACTGTCAGTAAAACTGCTGGATACTCAGTGGGTTAGGCATTTGGATGCAGAGCCAGAGGTTGGGAGTTTGATTCCCCACTGTGCCTCCCTGACAGAAGCTCGACTTGATGATCCATAGGGTCCCTTGCAGTTCTAAGATCTAAGATTATAAATTAGTCACCACAGTTTATTTATATCTGATAGATTTTAGTGGGAACAAAGTACAACTTACTTACTTTAAGCCTCTTACACATACATTCCAAACTCAAAATATTTGGTGAGAAGTGCCTCTTATGCAACTGTACCTTTTTTTATTGTAAAATAGACAAGAAGTCAGTAATTTTTCTTTCTTCCTTTTTTTTTTTTGCTGCTGTTGCAAAAGTAGAAAATTCTGGAACAAATTATAAAATGGCCACTATGCAAGCACCTAGAAAACAATGCAGAAATAACTGGAAACCAAACAAATTATAAAATGGCCACTATGCAAGCATCTAGATAACAATGCAGTAATAACTGGAAACCAGAGTGGATACGACAAGAACAAATCCTGCTGGACCAATCATATTTTTATTGTGTAACCACCCTGATAGACAGAAGGAATGCTGTAGACATAGTATATCTTGACTTTTGCAAAGCTTTTGACAAAGTGCCCCACGATATCCTGATTAGCAAGCTAACTAAATGTGGGCTGGATAGATCAAGTGTCAGATGGATACACAATTGGCAACAGAATTGGACTCACAAGGTTAATGGCTCCTCCTCCAACTGGGCAGAGATAACAAGTAGGTCATTCATGGGTACATGCTCTTTGATAGTTTTATTAATAACTTGGATGAGGGAGTGCAGGGAATGCTGGTCAAATCTGCACATGAGACAAAATTGGGTGGAATAGCTAATACCTTGAAGACAGAAAAAAAATTTAAAATGATCTTAATAGGCTGGAACACTGGGCTGAAAACAACAGAATGAAATCCAGTGGGGTAAGTGCAAAGTACTGCATCTTGGAAAAAGAAAACCAATACACAGTTACAAGATGGGGGATACCTGGCTCCTCAATACTACAGGCGAGAAGGATTTTGGAATTGTCATAGATCACAAGCTGAATGTGAACCAACAGTATAATATGGTTATTAAAAAGGCAAATGCCTTTTTAATAACCATATTATTTTGGGCTCCATTAACAGAGGTATAGTTTCCATATCCCATGAGGTGCTAGTTCAACTCTGTTCAGCACTGGTTAGTCCTCACCTTGATTATTGTGTCCAGTTCTGGACATCAGACTTCAAGAAGGATGCTGACAAATTGGAACAAGTTCAGAGGGTGGCAACAAGGATGATGAGGGGACTGGAAAATGAGCTCTATGAGTAAAGACTGAAATAATTGGGCATGTTTAGCCTTGAGAAAAGAAGACAGAGGGGTGATATAACACCTTTCAAAATACTTAAAAGGCTGTCATTCAGAGGAGGAGCAGGATTTGTTCTTGATCACTCTAGAATGCAGGACATACAATAATGGGCTCAAGTTACAGGAAACCAAATTTTGATTGAATATCAGGAAAAACATCTTGTTAGAGTAGTGTGACAGTGGAACCAATTACATCGAGAGGTAGTGAGTGCTCCAACACTGGAGGCATTCAAGAGAAACTTAGAGAACTACCTTGCGGATATCCTTTGATTTTTATTCCTGCATTGAGCGGGGTGGGTGGGTGTAGGACTTGATGGCCTCATAGGTCCTTTTGGACTTTGCTATTCTATGATTCTATGAAAGCTTTTGCTAACAGCTTTAAAATTGTGCATTATGTATGAACCATCTTCGTGAATTATATGATTGTGCTATTAAAAATAATTGAAAAAACATTTAATCTACTGCATCATCTATTTGATACATTCAGGATCAAAAAAGTGCACACACAACTGGGAAAATACTGAAGAGTTGTGATTTAATTAAAGAGATTTCTCTCTCTGCCCAGTTACCACTATTTATGTCAATTATTAAAGCTTTGGTACTCTGTTGGGAAGAAGAAATACCTTGTGTGGATTCCTGAAACCTTAACTCAATTGAAGTCCAACAAAAAGTCTCTTTTTCTCATTGTCATAAATTGAACTTCAAGGTACGTATTTTCTCTTCCTGGTGCCATCTATTTTTTAAAAATATGGACTTGCCCAAGTTTGCCTTATTTCCTGGATACTGTTTTATGTGTGCACATCATCAGAGGAAGCCTGGAACTCTGGCCAGAATGAAATAAAATAGAAACAAAAAGCCTTTAGCCAATTCTTTGTGTCTGTACATGTATGTATTCAAACTGTTAAGAATACCTTAAGATTCTAGCAATGGCAACTGAAATGTTCTTGGTTGATTGAGTGAGATGTGGTAGTTTTCAGAAGAAAAACTTTTAACTTTTATTTGGCTTCAAAATGTGGCTTGCTTATGGTTCTGGTGCCATCTAGTGTTAAGGATTATGCCAGATATTATATACTGTGGAATTTTGCAAAGCCGGTCAGATAGCTCACTGTACTGGCACATACTTGGTTGCTTAGAGTTTGATTCCCCACAGGATGTAAGAAAAGAAGCAGCCTGTGTAGCCTTGGGCAAGCTGCAGTTCCAGAGCAGTCTAAGAAGAAGAGACTAGTAAAGCACTTCTGCATACGGTATGTCTAGAAGACTCTGAAAAGGATCACCATAGATAGAAATTGACTTACTAGTGTAGGCAGAGCTTGATAATATATTTTGGGCTACAGCTTCCAATATCTTCCAACCAGCATGGCCAGTGGGAATGCCTGAGTCTTAAGATTCAGGGAGTTGTAATCCAGAAAACCGTTCACAAGTTTACAACAACAACATGCTGTCAAGTTAATTCTGTATTATTGTGGCTTTTTCCAGACTTTTCTAGGTAGAGATTACTCAGGAGTAATTTATCATTCCCTTCTCTTGGGGTTGCCCTGACATTGTAGCTTGCTCAAGGCTACAGAGATTAACTCTTCTCCTAGAGCAATTGAGCTCCTAATATTTGGTTCCATAGCCAGATGCCTTAACTCACTGACCAGTTTATAAACAAATGAGTAACATAGGTCAAAAGCCAATTGTTAGTTTTAACTAAAGTAGATCCATTCAGTGAATCAACCTTCCATAAATGTTCCAAGCTTCCTTTGAGGCAATCTTTTTACTGTAGTCTACAATTGGATTCGGGCCATAAGTTGCTCTCTCTCTTTTTTTGCCATGCACTCGCTGTCATGTTGGAATGCAGTGTGAGCATAATGATGTTTTCTAACTTTCTCTAAGGAAAGACATCGTTCTGTGTGAAACACTACATAGGGACATGGAACCCTACAACAAGACTATTGGTTGTGAAGGCAAAAAAGAAGAGGTAGTCCTTCTGTCTCTCAGATAACATTCTAGAAGGAGACAGGCAAGGTAGAAAAGACATCTGTCTTCTCTCCCACCCAAGCTCTTTGTGACTCATTTGGCTTCTTTCCTGCTTCTGAGGAGGTCAGTAACTGTGACTTGTACACTAGAAACCAGGAACCAGACATTTGAGGGCATGTAAACAACTGTATGTTGCTCCAAGAGCTGTTAGGCAAAAGGATCCTGGTGTGGAGCCATTGTGGGGTAAGAGTGAGAGGGTTGGACCTGGAAGTGGGAAATTAAGGTTCTAATCTCCACTGAGCCAAGAAACTCATTGAGAGATCTAGGTCCAGTCATCCACTTTCAGCCTAGCTACATCTTAGAACAGTAAAGATAAACAGAGAATCATAAGGCCCATTTAGTTTTGGTTTCAGATCATTGTCTGGAATGGAAAGGATACAGATTTAACTGATAAATAATACTTTGTACCTCCTGCATAGGCACAACACTCGTGTTTCAGTGTAGATGGTTGGTCCACCAATGGTTATTGTGCCAGTCTCTCTCTCACAAGAGATCCTGCTCTTTGCATTGCTGGCCCATAAATTCATTGCTAATGAAAATAAGAGCCACATCTGATGGCTTATGGGACTAAATTAAGAAAGCCACCCTGCTTGCTCAGATAGTGCATCTATGTGAGCAATAAAACAGACACACACATGAAAATACAAGCTCCCCACAACAAAGAGTGGTTTCTTGCTTTATAGAAGGGGAACCTCAATTTTTAGATGTCAACTTATGTATTACACTGCTCATTGAATTAATCCTCTCCATGACATTTTCCCCCATGAATCAGCCATCAAAATGAGTGTCTATAGGAAGATACAGACACTGTCTCCCAGAGTCATTATCAGCTTTCTCAGGATAATGCAGATTCCATCTGTTTTGTATCTCAGAACAGATGGAAGTGGGTATGTCAATCAGTGGTGCAATGTGATGTAATGAAGATGGAAATTTGAATTCGAATGATTCATCTCTGGATGTTCATTAAAGAGTGAATGAATATCTGTACTTGGTTTCTGATCTAGTAAGGAAACCAGAGGGTTTTTTTTTTTTTTGCTAAGTCAGGGAGACAGAGTATGTGATTGTCAAGTAAGAAGTTAAAGTCCTACATCCTTTACCTATGGACAAGGCTCACCAAACTCACAATGCAATCAGATGGGTATTTAACCCACTGTTTGGTCCTCTGTGGAGACAGGATAGATTACATCAGTGGTTCTTAACCTTTGTTACTCGGATGTTTTTGAACTGCAACTCCCAAAAACCCCAGCCAGCACAGTTGGTGGTGAAGGCTTCTGGGAGTTGCAGTCCAAAACTCCTGAGTAACCCAAGGTTAAGAACCAGTGGATTACATGACATAATTGCTGTGAAAACCAAGCTGTCCCTGGAGCATTCCTATCCACACCTTCCTATGCTCCTCTCAGGGCGTCTACTTTTTGGAACAGACAGGATCACCCCATTTTGGTTCATGTCCAGTACGTATGTGCAATCACTGGACATGAACCAAAGTGAGCCTTGTGGCTATCAAATTGCTTGCTGCTGTCAATTTGCCATATTGCAAAGGGGCATTTAGGATATTGGCAAACTATCATGAAGGTACAGTGGAAGGGATTTTTAAAAAAAGTCTATTAGAGCATTGCTGACGTGCTGCATCACTTATAAAAACAAAATATAAAACCTCCTAGAAGCAGGATGGGGCAACGAGGATCTCTCCCCCCCTTCTCTTAAAGGTCTGATCAAAAGCCTTCCCATAGCTGAATCCATAATGGATTTAAGCTGTTGGCAGGTTATTGACTGGACCTTTAACACAATTGAAATAAAAGGGGGGAAAAACGCCCCTCGTTGCCTCCTCCTGTCTTGTCCTGCTTCTGAGAAAAAGTTTTCATTTTAAGAAATGTTTTATAGATGATGCAGTACATCAATGATGCTATAGTAGCGTCTATATTTTTTTTTTAACTTTCTCTGCCCCCTGGAGTGGCAGAGGAAGTGCATAATTTGCCA